ATTGAATCAACTACAACATTAGTCTACTGTCCTGTCGTGTAATTAAAACAATCCAAAGAGTACGTATCAAATTCACTGCAAGTAAAGGCTTAATTAAAAGACTTCAGAACTTGAAAGAATGTGTTATATTCAAAATTGTTTTCTTTTAACGTCAGAAAGCGTCTGCTTATAGTATAAATGTCCCTATTGACTATTTAAAACAAGTAATGCTTTGTTTTTCCTACCTGGGAAGTTCCTGCTCCAAACTTAGCTCGAAAGGTGACTGGGAGGTACTACTAGTCGCCTTGGAAGCGCTGTTGTAATGTTAATTTAGCCACACCTTCTCATTGCGTCATCAGTTAAATGGGAGGAGCCTAGTAGCAACAAAGCAACAAACAGGGAAGGTGTCACTGACGTCAGACGTACAGGTGAGATAGTTTGGAGCTAAAAATTAAACACACACACATACTACACTTTATCCATGAATGTAAATATGGAGAAAAAAAAACTATAGTTTATATATACCAACAAAAAAAAACCAGCATTAATTTTGAAAAATAGAAAAGCTGTATTTTAATGTTTTTATATACTTTTATCTTCTTTAGGTTATTTCTATTATCTCATTTTATCTATTATTCTTGTCCTGTTTATTATACCCCCTGTAGTACGCTACACACGTTTGTAAAAAAAAAAAAAAAAAAAAAAAAATAGGGTTCAGTGTATTAATAAAAAGGAATTTTCCATATTGATTTTTACACAGGTCACGTGCATTGTGTTGATTTTTAGGGTAAAGGAAATGTCTGCAAACGTAACGGATAATGTCCTGTTCCTGCCAGCACCGTGTGAACGTCACTTGTCTTATTTCAGTTTTTGATCTAAATGTGTATAGATTTACAATTGTTTTATTGTTTATTAAAGATTTTCTATATCTCTTTATATGAACCATTAAAAAATAATCATCAAATAAGAATTCAGTTTTAAAACTTTTATGACTTGCAATTAATCTCTAAACTAAAAACTAACAAATAAAATAAAAAGTAGAAATACAAAATGCTTTAGCCTTCAAAGATAATTTTATAATAATGTTACGAAACCGTCCTCTATCTAAAACGTTGTATATGAAAGTTAAGTTTTCGTAATTTCCAGTGTCAGATGTAGAAATTCTCAGTATAAAAGAAGCCATTCAGGGGCTGTTAGGTAATCTGCTCAGTGCTGCCACTTTGTGGTTAAAGTCACCCACTTCGTCACACAACTTCATACTGTTGCAGGCAAACCAGCTGCCAGTTATAAATGAATGGAGATGATCAAGATTTCACATAAACCTAATTTAAATTGAGCTTTGTTGGATTGATTATGATATTCTAAGGTGATCTGAATATGGAAATGGCTCAGAGAGACCATAAGGAATGTTTTGAATCAAAGTGAGTGTTGATTTTTGCCACTGAAAGGACGGGTTGTTCAAACCCTGGCAAAGGCCTCAGTCTCTGAAACTTGGCGCTATGTGACCTGTGGCCTGGCTGTGTCCCTCACTAGGTAACAATGAACTGAGTGTGGAGTCAGATAATATCTACACAAGCGAGAGCCTGTGAAACTTGCAGCAATGTTTCCTGTTTTCTATACTGAATGAAGCTAGTTACAGCAATGGGCCCTGCTCCGAATCTTGACTAAGAACTAGATAATTATGTTTGCAATGAGTCATTTTGTCCTTAAATTGTTCAGTAAAAAATAAGTTAAATCACTTGTGTACTATGTAAGTAAATACAGTTAATCTGAGTAGAGTGTTACTTCATGTTTTTCTGTTATTATAGTGTACCTTCTGAAAAGGGGAGGGGCTTGGCCTCAACTGGGCCCCTCCCACTTGAACTTTAGTCCTATTCAGAAAAACTAAGAATCAGACACACAGAGATGGAGAAACACTGTACTAACTGGACTCTTCTCCTGGTGCTGTGTGGCCTCCTGCCACTGGCTTCTCAGGCCGGCAGGCAGATGCCAAAACTCTCGGACAAGAAGCTATGCGCCGATTCAGAGTGTAGCCGTGAGTAATGCTAACCAGCATATTTTAATTTATTTATTTTTTTATGTTGCATTTCAGCATAAGTAACTTTGGTAACACTTTACATTAGGGTTGCACGTATTAGTTAACATGAACTGACAATGAATAATACTTTACTAATCCTATAGTTAAATGTTAATTTCAACATTTACCAATGCATTAATACAATCAAGAGTTGTATATTTTATTTAATACTTAACGGACCTGCTAACATGAACTAACAATGAACAGTTGTATTTTTATTAACTAATGTTAAAAAGATTAATAAATACTGTTATAAATAATATGATGATAAATATTATATCACCCAAAAATAATCAATAAATTGTTACCATAACTTTAAATATATTCCGTTCAATTTTTATGTAGGCCAGTTGTGCACAAGAAGAAAAAAAAAGACTTAAAAAAATGATTTGGTTTATTCTCTAATTTTATAGTTGACAAATAATATGGACATATTTATTTTCTTTGCATTTTGTTATATTTTATATGAAGTTGTAAGGGAAAGTGTACATGTTAAGATACTGTAACTGATCACCAACATTTAAAGTTATTCATCTTTTTTTTTTTTTTTTTTTTTTTTTTCTTCTCTTTATGTTTACTTAAATAATTCTAAAAATGAATTTTCAAAGAACAAGTATTTAATATCCCAGTTAATATGAGGTCCAAGAAACTACATGCAGAACGATAATTAATAGTTAAATAATATAACGATAAAATAATAAACCAAAACTATTTTTAAACTATTTCAACTTAAAAATGTAAGTTCAGTTGCTGCCTTAAATTTTTTTAAGTATAATTAACTTCTTTTTTTCAACTTAAACTATATTAAACTGACCTGATAAATTGAGTTGAATCTTGTTTAACTTATAGAAAAAAAGATGAAATTGCTTAAATTATTTTGATGTGTTAACGTAATAGAAAACCATTTACCACAAGAAAACCAGTAACAGAAAACCACCAGTTGCCATGACTTGATCAAAACAATTTTTTTTACAGTGAATAGTTTTAAAAGGAGCATGTCACACTGACTGTAGGACATTGTGTCAACTACACATCTGGTTGTGTATTCACAGATCCCATTCTCATCGCTAGAGCTCTGCAGGATTATTACCCGCAAGACTGTCGCTTCATTCCCATCCAGCAAGGCCAGTCTGTCTATGTGTACGCCATGCTGAAAGACCGTGGGAACCTCTTCTGGGCTGGTAGTGTAAGTACAGTATAGCCTAAGGCCGATCTGAATTGCAAACATCTCTATCGCAGTATTTTAATCACAGCATTCAAATCCACGATTGTCTTGTAATGTGTGCAAAAACAAATGCTTTCCCCTCTGAAAATGAAGACACAAAGTGTAACAGAAGATAACTGTTTGTGCAGGTCCAAGGCTCGTATTATGGAGAGCAGGAGGCTCGTCTGGGATTCTTCCCCAGCAGTGTTGTTGAAGAGACGCATGCTTTAATGCCTGCTGAGGTCGAGGTCAAGACTGATGTGCGTATATGAATCTTTTGTTTATGATCAACAAAAACAAATACATGAATTTTAAATCATGAATTTTAATACATAATTTATATTCTTTTCTCTTTTTTTCAGAAATGGGACTTCTACTGCTATTAGGATTGTGTGCTGCTTCGTCTGGAATATAAACATGATTCTTGATTCCACTCTGCACTTTATGGTGTGTCACTACATTTGTTATCTCTACGCTACTCAACTATTCAGATAAGGAAAACATACAGAACAGTGACTGTAGGCTGTAAATGCTTATTGATGCAATAGTTTGAATAAAACTGCTACATGGCTGCTTCTCTTGCATGTGATCAGTGTTTCTTAGTAGCCTGTCACCTAATGTTTTGGTAAGTAAAGTTCTGAATGAGAAATAAAGAGAAAATCAATTACTACTCAACCAGGAAATAATTGCATCTGCCTTCAATGATCTTGATAGTCTTTAGCAGCAGGTTCTGTATTTGGTTTCTATAGGGAGTTAATCCAGAGCTGTCGTAAAACATGTTAAATGTTACTTTTAAATTACTCACACCCAAATGTTATTTTATGATACTCACATAATCATACACTAAGTGAATACTACTCAAATTTACAGAAAGACTCAATAAAACGTAAAAACATGAAACCTAGAGCATCTGGTTATGGTAGCCTACAGTAGCTATTTAAGTGTTGCTCACGTTAGCTAACTGCAATAAGTCTAATCTATTATCAAACGATAAAGATTACATAACGCGTTACATTTAATTAATGACTAAATTCCTGGGAGGTCAATTCACCAACCAGTGCACTTGAAAAACAATAAATGAAATGAATGAACTCTGCTTTTGGATCTATTTGGTTGCGCTACGACCTTTTTTACGCGTTACTTCCGCATTCCTCAATTCCTATATGGGTGAGTGTCGTAACGGCTCTGGTTGCGTCATGTGCGTTTCCACGGAGACCAATGACAGCTTGGCGTTCTTAGCAAGGTGAGTGCATCTTCACAAATAATTATTCAAATGATTTCACTTCAAACTTGGTAAATAAAATATAATGCGCCGTACTGGTAGGCTTTACGTTAATGAGCGACTTCCACAAATATGCAATTTAGGTGTTCTAGGGTGAGGTATAGCCTACTGATAAGAATTATTCTATCATTCCTTTAAAATTTGTATTAGAAATGTACTAGGCCGTTATGCTTATTATAAAAAGTAGTCTATAACAAGAAAGAACATTAGTGAACATTATTTGATTTCAAAATCAGTTGTAAAATGGCGGAAAAAAAATGTTCCTTACCAAAAGTAACGTAAAAATAGCCTAAAATCACTTGGCAGAAAAAAATATTTAGTTTTGATCAATGTTAACAAAACAGTTGACAATTTATTGGCCATTTTGTATATTGTTGTGGTTGCAGTTTGTTAAAAACAACGTTTACCTTTTTTATTTCTCAAAATTAAGAGGCTCTATTCTAAGACGATGTCTATAAACATGGAGTTTCCATGGATAAGAAACAGCCCTGCTTTTCATCACATGCTTCGGGCTTCTGGACAATCTGAGGTCTGGTATGATTTTACTGATGAGGCGAAATTCAACCAGTACGGTTGGCGATGCTCAACGAAAGAAGACTCTTATTCAAATGCCACCCTCATCGGTAACTGGTCTGAAGAGAGGTTTGACACTCGCCGCACTGTGGCGTTACGACGCCCCCTTCCGCACCAGGTTGGTTTTGTTAGGTAAAAACCATGGTAAAAACACGTAGGCCTACCCCCCGGTTTCACAGACAACGTGCCTAGTCCCAGACTAAAATGAATGTTTGAGCTGATTTAACTGAAAGAAACTGGCACTGACATATCATAAAATAAGTCAGTGTCATTGGTTTGTATCAAGTTGCACATCAGTAATGTTTCTTTTCTAAGGCACATATTTATAAAATTTACTTCATTGTATAGCCTAATCCTGGCTTAATACAAGCCCTGTCTGTGAAACCAACATATTCACCTAAGTCACATTTTAAATATTTTGGATTTAATTGTTTTAGATAGGCTAAATATAAAACCAAGAGCATTTCTCAGAAATGAGTTGTTACCACAGGACGGTTAATCATAGGCTATGAAGATGTTCCACTAACATTTGTTAATCACAAAAAGGGCACATCATTTTCGTACGTATATTTCAAACGTATATTTTTGGATGTGAAAGTGTGCTTGTGCTATCTTTCTTTAAAATGAATGATACTTGGTTTGATATTTTGCTAATGTGACATGCATTTTTAACTGTTGCATAAAGGAATAGTTCACCCAAAAATGATTATTTTGTCGTGAATGACTCATCCTCATGTCGTTCCAAACCCATGAGGCTTTCGTTCATCTTCGAAACACAAATGAAGATATTTTTGATGAAATCTGAGAGTTTTCTGTTCCTCGGTCGACAGCTAAGCAACTACCACTTTGACGCTTCAAAAAGTTCATAAAGAGATTGTAAAACTAATCCATATGAATTGAGCGATTTAGTCCAAGTTTTCTATTTTGTGCTCAACCGTGAAATAACCCTGAATTTGTTCCCCCTCACAGTTCTCTCATTATTTTGAAACCACATATTATTCCAGCTACAAGAAACCGGATGTTCAGCCGATTTACACAAGTAGGTTTTCTTAAATATACTTTATTATTTATTTAAATTTAGATCATTTTTTTTTATTATTCAACCAAATAATAATGCTGCTTATGTAAAGACCCTGGTATTTCCACTTTATCAGCACCAAAGAGAGAGTCAAGAAGCTTCCCTGGCCACCAACCAGAACTGAACCCTCCACACACTAAGTGTGTGCCAAACTCCTGCAACAGACTGGACTTCACAGGCCCTCAACATAGAGAAGAAAAGACAGAGGAGACTTCAGAGCCTCAGCGCGGATAACAGAGACAAACTGAAGCCTTTGGCGGAGGAATCCTGTTTACAAAATTAAATCAGCTTCAATATCACTGACTTCTGTGAGTGATCCATATAGTCAAGTATTGATTTGTTGTATTTTTCTGAAGCATGTGTCTATTTTTTTTTTCTTGTATTATCATGCTATACATAACCCATGATGATTAATTTCCCATAATTTTGAGTTTAGATTTTTTTTGCTTCTTAATTATATTGCACTTGCTTATTCACCTCAATTCATCTGGTGTAAAGTCAATAATTTCAGCAAGGACCTTGAGTTTAAAATGAGTTTAAAATGAGTTAAAAATTTCAACACATACTGTATTTTTTAGTGGCATATCAAATATTTTCCAGACTGATAAATTCTAAAATATTTGATCATTTTGACATTTATTAACATTGACCGATAACTGTGTAAAAAAAGATGACCAGCCATGAGAATTTTTGTTTCTTTCTCATATAAGTTCCAAAGTCTACCAAGATTGTCCTTATCAATGGATTTTCTTTTCTTAAAATATTTGAGTGATATTACGTGTTTAATTCAGCAATTTGGTGCATATATCATATTTGCTTCCACTGAATTGTGTATTGTATACATCAGCTGTACTCTCTAGATATCATTATTATCAGGATTGGGGGTTGAAAACCACAGATGACTACTAATATTTTGTCATATAGTTTGTTGAAAAGAATAATTTGGAAAAAAATAAGTCACACTGGTTTTGACCAAAGTCCACAATATTTATTAATTCATATTTCATGATGTTAATAAGTTAATTCAGTGTGTTAGCTGTGATTAATAAGGAATGTAAGCAGTAAACAAAGCCATGTTTTAAAAAGCTCCTTCTCAATTATACCTCCTGGGATAATACAGTAGTTTAGGCATTTGCTTTATTGAGAAGGTGTGATATAAATATGAGGAAAAATAATGTTTTCTACATCCTCGTCAGAGCCTGCTTATATTAGTTTTCCATATCAAACAATGACTGATATAGTTTGCTATTAGCAGCTTTACCGTTGTTGAATAAGTGAGCCATTGCTAAGAAACCAAATAGTCTCAGTGACTGCAAACAATATAAATTCTTGGCACTTATTCACATGCACAAACACCCAGCTCACATCTCATTCTCAAATTATTTTGGGAAATCAAGAGACATTTGACCTTTTAGACGCCATGCTTTCAAAACCTTGCATTAATAAACGTTATATGCTTTCATTTCAACCACATAGGACGATCATTTTTAATTTTTTTGTTCTTGGCAACATGTCACCATGTACCTGCTATCCATGCTGTTTAACATTATATACCATTATTTTATATTTATTTATTTATTTTTATTTGAAATAGGTTTACAGTAGAACTCCATTTGAGCCAAGGTTTTAAAGCTCTGCTCCTGCTATTGTCATGAGAAAGTTTATATGGAGGACCAGCTCTACCATATTTAAAAATAAATACAGAAATAAATAAATGCTCAATAAATAAATAAGCATACAATTAATTGCCCCCAAAAATACAATAAACAAATAAATGTAGGTAGAAATTAAATTATACAGTGAGACATAAATGTATATATCTATTTTAATTAGCTTCTTTATTTATTAATCTTTGTAATAATTACCTTATTTATTTATTGTCCGTTATAATCTTCAACTTTATTTATTAATTACTTATTTTTTGTAAGTATTTATTTATGTGCATGTTATAATATTTTTGTCTGTTTTATTCTTCCTTTGTATTTTTTTACCCTATTTATTTCTTCAATGCTATTTATTTCTGCCTGTCGTTTTTACATTTCTGTATGCATTTCTGCCTCATTATGCAAATCAGGAGGGGCTGTCTTAGGGGGTCAACTTCTGCCCATTGGTTGGTTAGCATTTTACTGCATTGGTCGAATCTACATGGCTTTTCCCCGCCATAAAGCATTGTTTAGTGGCAGTAATGTAACTCTCATTGGATGCCAGCTGTGACATGACATCTGTGTCCATGTGTGCCGCTAACTGAAACACACGTTCTGTCAGAGCGTCCAAACGAAAAATAATAAAGTCAATACTTATAACGTTAGCATTGTTTTCAAAAACAGTTGCTAAATGCCTCAGCTCACTCTGACAACTTCATCGTAGGTAGCCATCTTTGTTTTGACTGTGGCTGGTGGCATGTAGATTCGACTGATGCAGTAAAATGCTAACCAACCAATGGGCAGAAGTTGATCCCCTAAGACAGCCCCTCCTGATTTGCATAATGAGGCAGAAATGCATACAGAAATGTAAAAACGACAGGCAGAAATAAATAGCATTGAAGAAATAAATAGGGTAAAAAAATACAAAGGAAGAATAAAACAGACAACAATATTATAACATGCACATAAATAAATAAGGTAATTATTACAAAGGTGAATAAATAAAGAAGCTAATTAAGATATATATACATTTATGTCTCACTGTATAATTTAATTTCTACCTACATTTATTTGTTTATTGTATTTTTGGGGGCAATTAATTTTATGCTTATTTATTTATTGAGCATTAATTTATTTCTGTATTTATTTTTAAATATGGTAGAGCTGGTCCTCCATAAGTTTAAGGGTACACTATGTAATTATTTTTTGTTCAAAATTTAAATAATATATCATCAATCCTTCTTCCAAAAAACCTGTCAAGATGGTTTGTGCGGGAAATTGCGTACGTATGCCACTCGCCCGTGCGTGTCTATCCATAAATAGAGAACAGTTCCTCCGGCTTCTTTGACGCGTGTGGTGTGGGAGTGGCATAGGTTAGTTGTCACTGAGTGAGAAAGGTTGACAGGGAGCAGCTAAATCTCTGGAGAATCACACACAAACAAAAAAAAACGCTGAACAGAGGAGAGTCTGCTGGCAAAAAAAAAAAAGCTCTTAATAAAACCAGAATCAACATTGGGTTTTGTCGGAGATGGCGAGAACTAAGGGATTTGAAATGTTGTAAAAGTGACGCGGAGGTGAGTAAGGTATTTTATTGAACAGATAAACTGCCATATGTAGCTCTCTAACAGAGTTGTAAATGTTTATCCATTGTGAAAGGTCATATTAATCCGCACAGTCACGCAGAGCCGAAGCACAACCAAAACAATGTTCTTCCGCAAAATGCATGCGAGTTTTTTTTTTGTTTTTTAAACAGCTAGAGGACCAAAAGTTACATAGTGTACCTTTAAAATGTGAAGCAATGGCCGTGCATGTGCCATCAACCATTCATAAACTGCCTCAACACTTACAAATCAGGTCAAAACAATTAAATACTGTCACTTTTCAAGAACTTTTCTTTTCCACATCCCCTTAAGGCCGATTCACACCGCACAGACAAAACGCCGACAAACAAGTTGGTAGTTGGATGTAGAATTTTATGTAAAATATCTGTCATGTTCACAAACAAACGCTGATTGAACATGTTCAGTCGGGTGAAAACAAACCCCAACATACGCCAACAAGTTTAACACACTGATCAAACAAAACGCAACAAATGTGTTTGTTGGTGTTTGTCAGTGCGGGGTGAATTGGCCTTTATGTATGCTCTGGTCCTGAATCCATCATTAAATCAAAAATAAACTTTACTTCAAACAACAACAACAACAAAAAACCCATTATGATATCTGGATGTACCAAATAATTTTAACGTACATTGATTAACAGAATAAACTTTTTTTCACCCTTTTAAATAGACGATGACATAGTGCAGTGAAACACACATAATGAATTTTTTTTTTTTTTTTCATCTCAGTTTAACACAATGACCTATTATTGCCTGTTTGTCTTTGTTATAAAAAAATTCCAATGACAAATACTCCTCCTACTCTCAAACACTTTGTACAAAAGCCTCTTTGTGGCGTCAGCAGCAAACAATACTTTATTGTAAAACTGTATTTCTATGAAAATCGTCGAAGTAGCATGAATCATTTTGAGACTGTTTACAGTTTTGATGTTGATGGAGTTTCAGCCTAATATCTGTTTGTTTCTCTTGCAGCCTTAGCAAAGACAACATAACCATTTTGGCCAGTCAGTAATGTTGGACTAGTAAGTTATTCCCTTGTAATTTAGCAGGAGCACAATGGGACAGGGGAAGACAAGGGACATAACGTTGAAACATTGAAGTCTAGCAGCTTTACTTCTTCTGAGGCCCAGCCAGGGCGGGCTTGTCATCACGGGTGATAGGAATGGTGCGCTCCGGGCCGTCCGAGTGCTTGCGTGGGGCTGTCACCATCAGAACACCATCTGAAGACAGGGAAGAAGTGACAGAGGCTGGATCCACACCAGCAGGGACACGGTATTTTCTTATAAATTCTCGGGAGACAAAACCGTGATCGTCCTGAAAGGAAAGCACAACGTCGTTATGAGCAGGTGAAAACGAATGGTCCATCTTTCACTCTGTTTAACTCAATGTTTACTTGTGGCACAAGGACAGTGATCTTGGTGATGACATGTGGATTTTAAACAATAAAGCCAGTCACATGGCACAGTTTAGGTATTGTGTTGCAGTACTACCTGACGATCCTCATGTTTAGCGTGAATTTCAATGAAATCTCCATTGATTTTCACTGACAGCTCCTCTGGTGAAAAGTGTTTGACATCCAGATTTAGTAAAAATCGATCTTTTTCCATTTTCATCTAAGGAAACAATTAAAGACACAAATTGAATAATTTGTCTTGGCTTATGTTCCCAATTATTTCAAAAAAGCACCTCAAATAAAAAAAAAAATATATATATACTGTATATTTTTCAGACCATTTCAGACGTTTTGTTTTCCACATTACAATATTACAGTATCTCCAATGTAAACATCTTAATACAGGATTTTAAAATTACGTAATTTCACAGACAGGCTTCACTTTCTTTATGCAGAAATTAGCATTTTTCTTGTTGAATTTAGGGTGAAATATGACCTGAAAAATTTTTGTGCGTTTTTGTGAGATTCAACCATATAACTAATTAAATTAAAGAATAACTAAATAGCCAAAACTGTTTGTTTTAATCAGCAAAATATAACAGTTATGCTTCAGTGTGGCTTTATAAAAATACAGTGCCAGACTATCATCATGAAAGAAATGTTTAAAATGTTTATCCATTTAGAAAACAATAGCTATAGGCCTAGCTGAGTTTCTGCTTGAAAAAAACCCCCAGCTATATTTAATAATCCTGTTATATTAAATAATTATAAATAATGCTCCTCTCTGTCTGTATAAAACAGAGATGGACACTGAGAATAACAAATAAAAGGAACTTCATGTCTTAAAATAACACAATAAAAATGGTAACATTTTACAATATGGTTCATTAGTTAACATTATGTATTTACTAACATGAACTAACAATGAGCAATACATTTGTTACAGTATTTATTCATCTTTTTTAATGTTAGTTAATAAAAATACAGCTGTTCATTGTTTGTTCATGTTAGTTCATGGTGCATTAGCTAATGTTAACAAATACAACCTTTGATTTTAATGAGGTATTTGTAAATGTTGAAATTAATATTAGCTAAGATTAATAAATTCTGAAGAAGTATTGTTCATTCTTAGTTCATGTTAACTAATGAACCTTATATTAAAATGTTACCATAAAAATAATCCATAAATGATTTATTAGTCGTTACTAAGCCAGGATAATGTACAGTCAGCCGTTATCGCAGATGAAAACCCTTCAGGTTGATACAAGCCCTTCCACTTTGCATCAGGGCCATGGTCACCCAGTTTATTTTGCAATAGTGACTTAACAAATTAGACATTCTTTCAACAGTATTTCTAATGTTACAAACTTAATTAACCACAAAGTTTTAAAAAAAAAGTCACAAAAAAATGGACTGGGAAGGTTTCCAGCTCACCTCAGAAAGGCCACTGTCCACCCAGCTTGGCCAGCGCTGAAAGGAAGGTCGTGGGTAGTACAGTGAGGGAATCAAATCGGTCTCAGAGATGGGCTCCCCAAAGTGCTCCCCAAAGACTCGGCTGGATAAGAAGGATGGCCAGAAGGAGCGACGGAACCATGGATGCTGGATGGCGATGTCCATTTTGTGTCTGGGCCTTAGCAGCACTCAGAAAACTGCTGGCTCTTATGCCTGCGCACTTAAATAGAGCAACACCGATGGCCCCTGGCAGACGAGCCAGCTGTGGATCTTTCTGGAATAATGATGTAAACTGTTTGCCTGCCTTTGCCTCTTTCACTTCAGCCCTCCCACTGTCCTCTGCTTGCTACTCCGTCCCCTCTTCCAACTATCTCTCGCTGTAGTTATCTAAAGAGCTTATCAGATTTCAATTCACTCAGATACCGACTGGATTACAGTGCAAGCCCCCAATAGTGCTGATGGTACCCTGTGTTCACAGCACTGGAAACTGCACTGTCTGGTCCAGCAAACCTGCCAATTTCAAGTGAAGTCTCTGGTTGCTCGCCATTCCGCTGGTCTGTTTAATGCCAGCAAAGATTAGGATGCCCAAGAGGTGATGTGCCCATGCATATTTAGGTTCTGAGCCCAATTGGGGGTTTAGTCTTTACAGGATCTGACAGTGAATGTGGCTGTGATAACTGTGCCAGGCTAAACACCATACAAAGTCAATCCCCATGAACAACCGCTTGCCTGGACAACGTACGTGGACAACGTTACTTGAGCTGGCACACTGATTGGACAATGATTTTGAAGGTGTCAGCAGTTTCAGCTACTGTGCTGTAAGTGAATATTCTCTAAACAAAGGCAAAGGATTGTGGTTATACATTTTCTGCCCATTTTGTGGAGGTGGTGCCCTTTTTTAGTTCCTTAGACTTACTGTTAATATAATAAGCAGGGGAGGGGGGGGGGGGGGGGGGACATGAATGCTGAACTTGGTGACTATTTGATTTACACTAGTGTTCAAAAGTTTGGGGTTGGTAAGATTTTTTAATATTTTTTGGGGTTTAGAAGTTTTAGAAAGTAGTCTCTCATTCTCACCAAGGCTGCATTTATTTGATCAAAAATACAGTAAAATGGTAATCTTTTGAAAAATAATTCCCATTTAAAATAACTGCTGTCACATTCACGTTAATTTGGACACGTTATGTTTTGTCATCACCTGCCTTCGTCACTCATTTGTTGTCAAGGACACTAATCACGTTCAGCTGTGCACTCATCAGTCACCTGTTCAGTTCTGTTTCAGTTCAGTGTCCGGTATTGTCTATGTTAAGTGTGTGTTGCTCTATGTTTGCCTTTCTGTTGGATCTTCGTATACATCTTCATCATCTGTCTGCCAGCCAGCAACCACCCGTGACAGAATACTGGACCAAACAAATTTGAATGCGTGATATATTGAATATTTTTTCTCCCCCATTTTCGTGTTCAGTGTTTTTGTTCCATTTTTCACCCCTGCTTGCATCGTGGACTTTCCAGCAGTTAAACTCATGTGCCTTGAGCAGGGAGAATGCTCCCTCGAGAAACACTTGGAAGAGTTTTGGGATCTCGCCCATCAGACCTGATCTGAGCCCTGACCTGAGACCTGACCTGAGCCCACCGCAGGTAGCGCGACGGAGACCGCCATGATGAAGGAGCCTGCGCCCACAAGAGCGACCGAGGACCACATCGCCACGGAGCTCGAGCAGCGCACGCCTGACCAGGTGTGTGAGCCGGCCGAGCCATCCGTCGCTGAGCGAGTGCTGGTGGACGTTGATGGTTCAGAAGTGAGCCCCGCCCACCCCCTGCTACCGAGAATGTTCTGGCAAGGACACCTTTTGATTTTGAGTTTGATTTTGTACTGATGCCCGAACCTGTTATTTCTGAACCTGTCAGTCTTCTACCTCTACCTGAAATTCTGATTAATCATGCATCACTAGCTAAATTTCAGCTCCCATTCATACTATTACTGTGACTGTTGTTCTTGAAAAGACTTCATCTGCAGTAACTTTATTGGCTGCAAATAAATGTATTGGTGTAATTAGAATGTCATTTTCAGTTACATCAAAAAGTAATGTGATTACATAATGTATGTGTTACAGTGGGTTGCAGCAAGAATGAAACAGGATCTACGTGCAGCAGGTTTATTTAAAGATTAACTCAAAACTTCAAAAACCAGGATCACGGGTACAGGAAGAGGACAACCAACTGTAACGTTTAGAACTGACAAAGAACAAGACAGAACACAGGGTTTAAATAGACAGAACTGAAGAGCAAATGAACAAGACACCTCTGAACTGAACTACAGTAACAATCAATCAAACACCATAGAAACAAACAGGCAGGGGGCGGAGAAAGACAGAACTGAATTAATTGACAGAACACAGACAAAGACAGAAATCAAAACAGACTGACAATAATATGACAGTATGTTACTTGTAATGCATTACTTTACTCCTTACATCAAATGAGTAATCTGATTACGTAATGTGCGTTACTTGTAATGTTACTTTACTCGTTACATCAAAAAAGTAATCTGAATATGTAATGAATGTTACTTGTAATGCGTTACTCCCAACACTTCATTTCAGATGAGAATGAAAAAACACCTGATCGCTAGTTTTTTCCACAGTCTGAAAACATCAATCAATCAATGTAGATTTCAGTCTGAGGTTTTCTCAGAGAGGAGAGCTACGGTATAAATTTGTCGTTTATGAACATAATCAGGATTATCAGCTAATAAGTATAAATCAAAATACTCTATAGACTGGAGGGACCGTGAGCATTTTCTACATAGTCTGAGTTGGGTTTCCACAGAGTTGTACCTTGACCGGTTGTAGAGATTTTTGATGGAATCATGTTATCATGTTCTGACATCAAAGACACGCAAAGTTCAACTTATATGAAGTTATTCTCCATCTGCTGGACAAATGGGAACAAACTCAATTGAGTTTGCAATAATTTAATCTGTATTATATTTTTTGTATTTGATAGTTTTCACATGATGTTATATCATTTAATTCAGTGGTTTGATAAATACACACAGTATTGTGTTATTACAATATTATGTTTAGTATATTATTCAGTTAGAATCAAAAACCATTTTAAAAGCAATTTAAAAATAAACTATTTTTAAATTAGAATATGAATCAGTTTTTCATTAGTCTTCTTTTTTTACAACTTATGATCAGCTGTTAAACTGTTTGGCTTTGTGAGTCTATCACTATTTCACCCTGTGTTTGTGTATATCTATTTGTGTACATGTTGGCTATGCAGCTCCACGGAGTTTACTACAAGCTATTTGTAGCAACATTTTTCACCCTCCTATCTCAAGTGCGCAGTCTCTCTTCTCGGTTCCCCTGTTGTTCTTTCCGCCCCTCTCCCTTCCTATACTTCCTGCTTCTATCACACGGCAAAAGTCAGAGTAGCCTAATTGAAGTCTGTCAATCCAGTAAATTCTCCAGTTATCTTGGCAACCTGCTACAGAGATCAAAATGGCCGACCGCACCGTTCCTCATGCATACCCAATGAGTATGGATTACGAGATGTGTACTCCTCCTCGAATCTATGATCAGAACTTTGCAGAGGGTAAGTAAGATTTTATAGTCTTTCATTTTAATTTTCAGGCAAAATATCTTGTGTATATGTAGGCCTATATATGTCTACGTTGCTTGTATTCTGATATTGGCTTGCATGCTTTGAATGTCTTGATGACTTTAAAATAACTTCAGCAGGTCTCATACAGTCATATTTGATTTTAACAGTTATAATAAGCAAAACTTTTTGATTGTCAGAATTAAGGGTGAAATGAAATGTGATGCCTCAGCAACTTATATTTAGAATTCCACTCATGACATGACCAAATTTAACTCGTTGTCCCCATCATAACTGATTATGAACTGATCTTCTTATTAAACAATTCAGCAGCAGATTTGGAAGTCAACTGGGAAGACTCCTGTCTCGGTTAGGCTATAACAGAACAGCGTGAGGGTGTCACGTGTCTTGCAGGATAAAAATAGACACTGTAAGTAGAACCTTGTCTTGATCTGGTATCACACATTTTAAATAAACTTGACATGCACATTTCCTGTGTCTTCTAGAACACTATTTAAAATTAGAATTTAAAAGGCAGAGCATTATATTTTAATGCAGTTCTTAGGTTGCCTACTTGAATAGTAGCAAATTGATTCAGGGTAAATGTCAATGTTCCCAGTGTGGAGGTATTCAAGGACTTTTATTTTGAAAGTTTTTCTCGGAAGATACGGCAACCGTGAGGGAGAGCGCGAAGAAAAAAATTCGGAGAGCACGAGTGAGACGATCGGGAGCGCGAGTAAAGCTGAGTGAAAGACGAAATAAACTGTTTACTAGTGATTTATTTTCTTTTACGTGAACCGCAGTTGACAAGTGTCGAGGTGAGCGGACGAGAAGCTGTACCGAGCTTGTGCTGTCAGTGTCACGAGTTACAAGTGTGATCGCAGCTGAACTACATGGCGGTGTGATACGAAGGGAGACATTGCTCATCGTGCTGACAGCTGTGTGTCCAGAGTGTTTGTCTCCGAGTTAAGGGAGCTGAGGTACTGTGAGGTTTCTTCACTGTTGTTTCAATACAGTTGACATCCAGAAGAAAATCACGGACATCATTTTTTTTTGTGGTTGTTGATGTAGAATAAAGCCGATTCAGTACGAGTGGTTTTTCCTGTTTTTCGAGAAAAATCCTCGCTAGCCTTTTTGACACATTAGCGCCGCTCTGTGGACGCAAGCGGCATTACAGACTCTTTGAAATTCTTTTGATTTAATTTTTTTTCCTCCCTATTTTTGAGTATATAGCCTCTTTCCTGAGAATTGCTTTTCATCTTTCTATATTTTCTCTATAATACATTTTTGGACGCTTTGCAGTATTTTTGTTTAACAACTTTGTAATTCTACAACAATTTAACACTTGCATGGACTTGTGTACGGACAATTTAGTTTGCACAAGTGAGTGAATCTGCATTTGGAGACTGCCTCTTCGTGGAAAATAATATTTTTCCTTTTATTTTTTTTTGAAAAACCATTCATTTCCTGTGTTTGAAGAAGGAAAAGACTTGCTATCTTTGAACAAGTTCCGTATAGCTGTTCTGATTTCCCTGCCATACCTGGACAGTCCAACGCCAGCCCAGTTCTGTGGTGAGGTAAAATTTAAACATTGAGTTGTGAATATTACTCAGGTATGTGGATTGACAGAGACAAATATCTGATGTGAAATGTAATATTCATTATGTACTGCTGACTGAACTGGTTCTCACCT